TTATAGTCATTTTTGTTTAAATAAAGCTCAATAAAAGCAAAGAAAAACTTAAATGTTTTAGAGTTTCAACTAAAGAATAACTAAAATAATTATCGAGATTTCTCTATACTTTATATTTGTCAAAAGTGAAAAGGGAAGCCTTGCTTTATCTCGCATTTTTTTAATATTATGAATTGTAGCAAATATTATCTATTGGCCAAATTTGTGTGCATCTAGAGACAAATATATTTGTCTTTTGATACGCATTTTAGCAATAAATACAGTCCTGTAAAGCACAAAATGTTTTACCATTGGTGAAAGACAGGAAACCATAAGAGAATATTAAAATTTCCACATGAACTTAAATTTATTTTTAATTAGGCTAAATATTATCGCAATAAATAGAATTATCTAAATTTCATCTTTTTCTAAATATGACATATTCATAGAAAAACAAAATGCATACTGGATTGGCATTATACTCGCTATTTAGCCTGAAATAGCTTAATATATAAAGCTTATAATTTCATTCTCCACAAATATTAAAATATCTTGCAGCCTATTTCAGCTATAGGTATCATCACGCAATTTATGTTGATATCCTTACGCGCCTAAAGCCTAAGGTCGAAATGAAGTCCGGTTTTATAAATTATTCCTGAATTCTTTTATGCCGAATAATATCGATAATTATTTAAAATAAGAATAGTTTTAATTTAATTTATAGAGTTTTGGTCAATTAAGGAAATAATATATGGTTATATTATTTCAAAGCTGATAGTGTGACAGGACATAAATTGAATTGGTCAAGGCATTTTATTTTGGCTACTTAATACATAATAAATATTTTTATACAAATATTTTTATATTTAAAATAATTCTATCCAATATAATCATTGGTGCTAAAAATAAAAAGATTTTGTGAGCAACTTAAGTTACATTTTAAGGAGTTGAAATCAATATAAAGAAACATGTAAACCAATATGCAGATGATACTGAGCAAACTGGAAATAAACTATCTGTCTCGTGAGAAAGACATTTATTTGAAAGCTCTTATTTATACCAGAAAGTCTACATATTTTGTATTAGGTTTCTAAATCAAACTATGCGTAATAAAATCGAAATTTTGAATGTATTTGTTAAATCAGGCAGCAAAAGATTGCATAAAACTTCAGCTAAACTTAATAAAATGTGAGATTTTAATTGTATATAAACCAATGATTTCCAAACTTTGAGTAGCATCTTGGTAAATTTCTTTGTCACAAGACGTATTAACTAGTCATTTTCTTACAGTAAATTTTGGTATATGAGATGACTAGTATAACAAGCCAAAACTAGATTATGGGGCTCCATGACATCGATCATTGATATAATAATGGTGCATCCGTTATGGAAAATATAAGTAGATTACTAGGTCATTAAGCATTTTATACACTGAAGTAACAAATTAGGTAAGGAGCGCATTATAAGAAATAATTCATATTAAAGTACACTTGCTTTATATAGAGTGAAAGAACGATTCTTAAGACTCAAAAGATGGGTTATACTTTATTTGAAAAAATTAATATAGAACTGATTCAGAACACGATCCTTATGGAAGCATAAATTCCTTAAACCAAAAACTAGATTTACTATTTGAATTAGCTAAATTTAAATACTGTAGTTAACCGAGTACTCTGGTGCAGGTTTTATGAAACGGAATTACTGAAAAAAATAGTTTGGGTAAGAGCAGGAAATAAAATTAAATCAATTTTTGTTTATTCAGTGAAAAAATTGTTCTTCTAAAAATGTAGGGGACGCTTACAATTAAACTGAATTTATAATTTATATTTTCATTTATAAATTTTTAGAGAATAAGGGTTTTTTTCAATCCTATAGACGGCTTGCTATTATGAAATTAATGATCAAAGGTTTTAATCTTAAATTATCAATCACATTTCTGCATTGCTTTATATTTTCTATCGAGTTAGCATTTTTGCTTTTCACTTCCATTGGTTAGTCCTGAAGGATTTGACGCGTTTTGAGGTTACAGTTCTATGTTTATTCAATTAATTGCTATTAATTCATGTAATCTGAAGTACGTCTTAAGATATTCTTAATGATTTCTTAATCTCTATTTAGTTATTTTCTACAGATCTCACTATCAAGAAAATGTATATTTTGGAGAAGAATCCAATTTCTGGATGTCATAGTTGCCTGTACCCCACGGCCTCCATAGATGGTTTTCAATAAGATGGTGGATATAAGAAATATTTATCAAGCAATTGGTAAACAAATCAGCTCTCCAGTAGGCACCTTATTGACGCGGCAGCAGAACTTTGTGTTAATAATTTTGTCGCTTATTCTTTTGATACAAACTCCAGAGAACATTGGTTCACCCTTGGCTTCACACTTAGCCAACGTTAGTGATACCAACACTTCCATGTTGGGCGATTTTCAGCCGCTTGTTGGTGCCAATGTCCAGCCTACCTCTATGAACTCACTAGAAATCAAAGACACAGTGGCAGAGCAAGAAGCCTATGAAAAGGAATGGCAAGGCGGGTCCGATGATGTAGACGAGGGAGATTTTAAAAGATGGGACATTTCACAATGGCTGAATCAGCTTATGCACGTATCAAACCCTATGACGCCGCAAAACGAGGCCGAGATCATTCAACGAGTCTTAGTCTGCCAAGAATTATTACAAATGGTAATCCAACCTAATCGTTCCGGTGGCATGGAGCCTCATCTCTCGCATGGAAAGTTGCTACCGGAGCTAATAGATGATCCGGCCGCACGGAAACTACTTAGTCTGGCCGATCCCAAATTGACCTGCAGAAGTGCTCAGGAAAAGTGGTTTATTGATTACTACTTTGATCAATTCAATAATTCTACACTTAAGCGAGTTAGTGAAGCCCTTAACGAGATCAACAAAATGATTACACTAGTCAATTTTACCCTAATTGCTGGCTTCGCGTTGCCCATTTTCTCAAGATTAACTCGGCGCAGTCCTTCATTGGCCATCTGGTGTCTACTCAAGTGGTATGCTTGCTTTGTTCTCGCCTATTTGTTGCTAGCCACATTGCCTCAGCTAGTCCACGAAGTATGGCACAGTCTCGAGCAGACGATTCCAAGTCGCAGTCAACAGTCACAGTCTGCCGATACCATTCTACTTCGACGTGGTCAAACGGACAAGAACAAACCTTCCCTGGCTCCCGAAGAAAGATCCGTAAGCCGAGAGCTACAGCAACCAGACAAGACTGCTCAAAAGACACGTCGACTGATATTCGGTTTAGATGATATAAACGGAATAACTTGTCCACTAGTCACTTTTTTTACTCATGTTTTTCGCTACACACCTCATTGGTTGTTGTTAGTTGCACTGTGGGAACAGATCGTGAGGCGACTTAATTCATCCGGCACCAAAGAGCCTCATCCAATGGAGAGGGCTGTGTACCAGCCACGTGGCAAAGGAGAGACGCAAGCTGAAGAAGGACAGGAGACGTTGAAAAATGAGAATCAAGAAGAGTCAGAAGAGGTGAGGAGAAAGTGGAAAAAGGGAGGATTGCCACAGCAAACAGGCTTTTCTTCAATTCACTCTAATCCAAATAGGTCTATTCATTGGTCTAGAAGGCATGCTTCAAGTTCCCATGAACCCAGTGGACAACAGAGGAGAGATGGATCAAAAATCACTGTGCACGGTGAACGCCGACCCATTCGAGCTGCAATGCGCCAGCCAACTTCAACAGATTTGAAATTAACCACCCCGTTGCCAGGGCAGCCTGTTGTTGTTTTGACATCATTGTATTGTCCATATGTTGGGCCTGGCCTTGGACGTCTTGGTGCCCAGCTAGTAACTATAACGGCATTTGTTGGTCATATTGTGATGAATATTCACTCACTTTGGCTATACACCATAGTGGAAGACAGGTGCCGTTTAAACAGCGAACATTCCTACATCTTTTACAGCTATTACCCAATCGTTTTACATGTTAGTGGTTATTTTATTAAATGGTTTTATAATTTATATATTTTATTACACCATTCAATTCTAATTTTGCATACAAACTCAGGCCTATTATTAAATTGCTATTAATATATTATGGGATTGTATTGTTTTTTATAACAAAATTTGCAATAGGCTTGCCACCTAGCTAATTTAGTCAAAACTATGATCCCTCTGATTGTGAGTTTTTTTGAGTCAAAAGATGCGAAATAATTACCGTTGGTTTGTGAGGTGAAGTTTTGAAATTCTCCTCCAACTCGTTCATGTAGACATTAGCGAGAAGAGGTGAGAGTATTGAGCCCATTGACATACCAAATAGATGCTCATAAATGCGGCCGTTGAATATGAAAAATGGTAGTTC